TAGACCGCAACGAATAAAATAGTAGCTATCTAGTCAGCCTTATAACAGTAATTAAAGCAATATGAGCTGCATTTTTGAGAATTTTATTTTGCTGGTAAAATGTGTTATTATGATTTATCTGTATGTAATCTAAACCCCCATGATCAATAAGTGCAAAATAAACTTTAAAAATGTTTCAGAAGAAATATTTCTGTACAACCGAATATACAGTATTATATAAGAAATCATTATTGTACAGGACAATAATTCAATTTTGCTCTTAATTAAGCTGATAAAAGTTCTTCCATAGCAATATGAACAACAGAAGTTTATAAATGTTCTATTTTCCTGTCATTGAATTCAATGAATTAGCTAATTACAAATTTGAAATATTTTTTTCCGATGTCAAACATGCAGCTCATATTGCTTTAGATAAGATGTGTTTGTGAAACACTGATGCCCCGTATGGCAACATAGCGAAGGTTAAGCTTTCTCAAATGCAGATCAAATATGTTGGTACCTAAAGTAAGGCATTTGCACAAGAAATACAAATGTGAAATATAAAACCATAGCACCACCTGTTCAAATGTAATGACCAAAGTTACATTTTAAAGGTAGGACAAACTCCGGGTCAAGGTTAAAAGGTCAAGGTTGTTGGTTTCTAAAGAACGGCCTTGTCTCAAAAATTACATATCGGAAGTATGGAAGCGCTGGCGCGTACTGTTCAAAAGCCATGGTGAAGGTTAAAGTTTGTAAAAAGTAGGTCAAACTCCAAGGTCATAGGATCAAAGTTGTTGACATCCAATGAAAGGTCTTCTCACAAGGATTACATGTGTGAAGTATGAAAGCCCTAGCTCTTACCGTTAAAAAGTTATTGCCAAGGTTAAAGTTTTTTTTTCATAAATATGGAAATCTCTAAGGTCAAGGTCAAAAGGTTAAAATTGTTGGCTTCAAATGAAAAGTCTTGCCACAAAGAATTGATATTTGAAATATGAAATTTCTAGTATCTACTGTTTCAAAAATTAGGGTCAAAGTTGAGTTTTTTTGTGTAAAAATGGGTCAAACTCCAAGGCCAGGGTCAAAGGGTCGAGTTTCTTGATATCAAATGTAAGGTCTTGTCAAAAGAATTAAATATGTGAAGCATGAAAGCCCTAGTCCTAACCCTTAAAATTATATTATGGTCAAGGTTGTATTTTTAAAGTAAGTCAAACTCTAAGGTCAAGGTCAAAGTTCCTTGTATCCAATGAAGCATCTTCTCACAAAAATTACACATGTGAAGCATGAAAGTCCTTATTGCTCAAAAGTTATGGCTAAGGTTAAAGTTTTTTCATAAGTACGGAAATCTCCAAGGTCAAGGTCAAAAGGTCAAAGTTGTTGGTACTCAATAAAAGGTCTTTTCACAAAAATACATATATGAAGTATAGAAGTCTTTCAAATATTCAAAAGATATTGCCAAAGTAAAAGTTTGGAATTTTTGTTTAAAAGTGGGTCAAATTCCAAGGTCAAGGTCAAGAGGTCAAATTTGGTGGTACCCAAAGAAAGGTCTTGTCACAAGGAATACACATGTGAAATATTAAAGTCATAGCTCCAGTCAAAAAAAATTATGGGCAAGGTTAAATTTTTGCGGACAAACAGACAGCTAGACAGACGGAAGAACATGACAAAAACTATATACCCCCGAAACTTCGTTTATGGGGGCATAATACGTACTTTTACATGTTTGTGGAGGAAAACAATATTTCAAAACCTTGACATATTGAAAATGTATGACATAGTTTTCACATGATGACACTAATCTTGTTCTTTTGTTCCCCGCTTTCACGAAAGCGAGGGGACATAAAATCTCATTCATCTGTCAGTCTGTCCGTCCGTCACAAAAACTTTAACCTTGCCCATACCTTTTGATTGAGAGGAGCCATGGCTTTCATATTTCACGTGTGTATTTATTGTGACAAGACCTTTCTTTGGGAACCACCAAATTTGACCTTTTGACCTTGGAGTTTGCCCTACTTCTACACTAAAATTCTTAACTTTTACTTTAGCCATAACTTTTGAACGGTAAGGACTAGGGCTTTCAAATTTCACATATGTATTTTTTATGGCAAGGACTTTCACTGAATACCAACAAGTTTGACCTTTTGACCATGGAGATTTCCGTTCTTATGAAAAAACTTTAACATTGGCCGTAATCTTTGAACGGTAAGGGCTAGGGCTTTCATACTTCACATATGAAATTCTTGTGACAAGACCTTTAATTGAATACCAAGAGCTTTGATCTTTTGACCTTGACCTTGGAGTTTGACCTACTTTTAAAAACAAACCTTGACCATAACATTTGATGGGTTAAAGCTAGGGCTTTCACATCTCATATATGTAATTCTTGTGACAATACCTTCCATTGGATATTAAGAACATTGACCCTTCGACCTTGGAGTTTGACCTACTTTTTAAAAACTATGACCTAGGCCATAACTTTTGAACAGTAGATTATAGGACTTTCATATTTCACATATGTATTCTTTGTGGCAAGAACTTTCATTTGATACAAATTTGAAATTTTGACCTTGACCTAGGATATTTCCGTACTTATGATAAACTTAAACCTTGACCATAACTTTTGAACGGTAAGGGCTAGGGCTTTCATACTTTACATATTTAATCCTTGTGACAGGACCTTTCATTGGAAAGAACCTGGACCTTGACCTACTCTTTAACCTTGGTCATAATTTTTGACCGGTTAGTGTTAGGGCTTTCATACTTTACATTTGTAAAACTTGTGAGAAGACCTTTCTTAATAAACCAACAACTTTGACCCTGGAGTTTGACATACATTTCAAGAATTCATCCCTGGCCATAAGTTTTGAACAGGTGGTGTTAGGGCTTTCATTTTCACAATTGTAATTCTTGTGAGAAGACCCTACTTTGGGTTAGAATATAATATAGTATTTAATTTGCATTTAAGAAAAGTTTAGCCTTCACTTTGTTGCCATACAGGTCATTAGTGTTTCACAAACACATCTTGTTCCTTATATTGAGAGGAAATAGGACTTTCATATTTGACATGTCATGATGTGCATTACTTGTGACAAGATATTTCCGAGGATGCTATGATTTCTGACCCTCTGACCTTGACCTTATTTAAAAAAAATCAATTTCAGTGATAATTGTTAAATGACCTTTGATAGGACGTTTTATTTGAAACAATATGTCATTCACCCACAAAGACACCGAAAGCGGGGGACCACAATTCTTTGAATTTGCTTGTTCTTGCTAAAAAAAAATACATTCTTCATCTATTACATCAAACAATGTAAACAACTTTTTTAATAGTAGAAAAAATAATAACCATCAATTGAAAACTACAGAGTAGAAAATGTTCGTCTTAGTCGTAAAATATTTTGGTAAAAAGGCCTCAGAACTTTTATCATATGGCTTCCTTCTGTGTCAGTACTGTCACCCCTACTAATGTTATTGTGATTTAAATTCAAGACACGTGGTTAAGGATGACCTATGCAAAGGTTAAAGGGTAGAACCGTGGCCTGTCCAGCAGAGCGAACTTTGCGAGCGCTCGCCAAAATGCCTTATACCTCCAATAGTAATTTTGGCGAGCGCTCGCGAAAGTTCGCTCTGCTGAACAGGCCTCTGGTTTTACAAATAAAATTGGCAGTAAACAGGAAATTGCTATAGTCTGTTTCTTTTGAAAAATGTCCTGTGAAAAATATGTTTCCTGACCTTTCTGAAAGACTTTCATGACTTTCAACAGAAATTGGAGACTGAGGGTGAAAATAAATATATCTTATCATAATTTACGGCAAAATTAGAGCTCACTAAAGTCTAACATCATCTACACTGACAAACCTTTGTTTGCCTTATATGGCTATTGTTATTAATGCGCACAGATGATCTAACCATGGGCAACTGACCAATCGTTGAATGAATAGTAAAGTTTACGCCAAGCACGTTTACATTTTACTTCGAACATGTGGCTCAGGTCAATCTATGATCAAGTCAATGGAGTGCAAAATTAAAGAAAATTCTTATGAACAAAATACAAAGGTTAGAAACTATGAAAGATGTCATGGGCGTTTTTAGCTCACCTGAGCTGAAGGACAAGGAAAGACAAGCATGTAATAGGATTCATTTATTAACCAGAGAACTAGGATCCAAATACTTGAACATCAGCAAGATTCATTGCACTACGATACTTTTGTAAGATTTGAACCCAGCGTCCTGTCATTCCACCTGGACATTTTATTTTTATCATTTGACCAGTTTTTCCGGGCCCTTTGAAAGTACCACATGTCTTCAAACTCCCTAATGTCTCACCAACTAGTATCACAGCATTACGGAAACGATTACCTGAAATCAGAATTGTAAAATGAACAAAACCAGAAGACGAAATTACTTATATGTATTGACTTTAGCGAAAGTACAAGTACTAATTAAAAGACCATCTTAGCAAGGTATCTGAAGATTTCTTTTCAGAATTAGAACATTATTGAACCTCCCCAGGTATAAATTAAATACTACCTACTAAGCCTAGAAGCTAACATGAGTCTCTTAAACACACAGTTTACAAACAATTCCTTAAAATAGTAGAACTTGTCTTAAATGAGATACAGTCCACTTGATTACACGTTTTATACAATTACCCAGTATTTTTGTGAAGACAACAATTAAAGACTTAATTAAACAACGGGGTGAGAAAAGTACAGATATATCGTAAACAAAGGGTTTACCTTGGAAAATTCCCAGTTTACATCAGTATCTATACTTAAATGCAAGATCTGCAATTTTTTTTTACCAGAATAAGGATAGCGAGAGAGCTTATCCTTCTAAAATTAAAAAAAACTTTAACAAGAGTCTACTTTGGGTACATTCTTCATGTAGAATGCAGAATTCTACGGCTTCTGTTACCTAAACGAGCTCTCTGTAATTCTTTCATTCTAGTTGCATCATTGTATGGGATTGACCCAAAATTGTGCCATGTCTTTATTCTTGCACATGCATCCTGTGTATTGTCTCTCTATTCTTTTTATACGTATAATGAGCTAGAGATGGAATCAATCTAGAAATTTTGGTTATTACAGGCATGATTTGTGAGTAAAAACACTTTTTATGTTCATTTTTGAATTTCTCAAATGGCTAAATCAAAATCTTTTGGACGTGTGGATCTTCATTTATTACGTATCAAGGCCATAAACTCAGAACAGACTTACAGCTATAGGTAAGAGTTTTGATTTTCGATATACATGTATCTAGAATTCCATTCAAAAATATGTATCTGCATAAAAAATAAAAATTTTTTATAAAACACAAATTCAAACACATGTTGAAAATTTCATTTCATTATCAAAATTATTTAGGTAATTACATTGACTTAAAATTTTGAGTCTGTTCTCACTTTATGGTCTTGGGGCTTGGTCTGGGAACTATGACTTGCTTGGTGAGAACAGAGCTACGAGAAGACTGATAATTAGACCTACTCAGTACTGTTATACCAAAAAAAAAAATACTTTTTTGAGTGCTTTTGAAATCAATATATTTGTAAAGGGAAAGCATGAAATGACTGGAGAAAACGAAGAGTATTCGAGCTTAGAAGTCAATAAAACAATACAAAAATGAAGCAGAGCAAACACGGACCTGAAAAAAAAATCACTTACCACAACAGTTTCTCCTGTTAAAGATTCTCACTTCGTCGACGCTATAGCTTTTCCCTAGATCGATCCGATACCACGGAGTGGCATCAATTTTAGTATGGCAAAAATCGTTCAAATTTCCATTATTACATACTGCAGGCTTGAAATGAGCAAGGGTACTACTAAGGAAGGATTTTTTCCCACGAGCAAGCTCTTTCACAACTGAAACGTCAATGAAATACATGCATGTAGATATAACGATTCCGAACAAATTTCAAGCTCAGAAGTTCATTTGAACAATACAAAGCAGAACCAGCAAAATATTTGAGATTTTTTTAAATAAAAAAAAATCTCACATTTGAAATGCTGATAAGAACGTTTGTCAAAGAAATGCTAATCAGAGAGAGAGAGAGAGAGAAAGAGAGAGAGAGAGAGAACTAAACACAATCAAAAAAAAATTAACTAACCTGCCGGCTTGACTACTTGGCTTGCAGATTTGCTTGCAAATACTTGAACATCGGCAAGATTCATTGCACTACGATACCTCTGTGTGATCTGAACCCAGCGTCCTCTCATTCCACCTGGACATTTTATTTTTATCATTTGACCAGTTTTTCCGGGCCCTTTGAAAGTACCGCATGTCTTCAAACTTCCTAATGAGTCACCAACTTGGATCAGAGCATCACGGAAACGATTACCTGAAATCAGAATTGTAAAAAGAAAAAAAATCAGAAGAAGAAACTCTTATCGGTCCAGCTTAGCAAAATCTATAATGATTTCTTTTTAGCATTAAAGCAACATAAAACCCATTAAGGAACGAACAGTATTCACGATAAAAAATGTCTTAACCTCCATCCCCACAATCACGCATTTGAAAGCATATACCTTTCGCCGCAATTGCGCATTTTAACGCATGTTCCTTTGCCCAGCAATCACGCATTTTAACGCACTTACTGAAGTTTTTGTTTTACAATATGATGCACAGCCATGTGTTTTTGTACATATGAACATACTTGAAATTTTACCTGGAAAACAGATAATTAAACTTATTGACGTCATAATGAGAGTTTACGTCAGACTTCGTGTTTACAACTGTTGAAATGGAACCTTACCAAAATCGAAAATACTCATGATAAATTTACTAGGGGACTTTTCTTCAGATTCGGTTGATGATGACAGTGACAATAGCTTAAGTGATTCGGACTTTGAAAATCTTTCGTTGGTAAGCCTCTCTGATTTGGACGCACATAGATCTAACCGATACGGATTCTAATGGTGAAAAGGGAATGTCACTTAAATGGACTTCCATCTTAATTACAAGATGTTAAGGAACCCCCTTTGTATGTGCTATGGGACCAACACAAATAGTACAATGTTGTGAAACAGAAAAAAAAAATTCGAAAATTGTTTTACTCGGATTGTGTAACTACATCAACAACAGGCATTAACAAATATGTCCTCGAGGAACAACAACGAAAGGGTTTGCTATTAAGTAATATTTATCAAGGAAAATTGACATAGCGAAAGCAAGAATAGAGCTAAGGCAGACATGAAATTAAATTTTCGTATGAATTTTATAGCACTTTCATATGATGATTTTTTAATAAAAAGTCATTGAGAATTAAACAAACTGATATTCAACGAAGAAAAAAAGCAATATCTCTTCCAAAATACATGTGCAAAACGGAAGCGGAAGTGCTTGTACATTGTGGGCATAGCCCGGTTTATTAACAATGGTTTTTGTGTCATGTACATGTAGTTGTGTTAAGTCAAACAATACGTCTATAATTTAATTAGAAAAAAAATGTCCTTCAGAATAAAGTTTTTTTTAAACTAATATGCTTAAATTTCTGTATATTATTCTAAATTAGGGGAGTACCATTCTTACTATTCTTAATATTCTTTCTTTTTTAGAAATGAATGATATATCAATTAAAGTGAAGAAAATTTGATATGGTAAATAGAAAGATCAATTATTTTTATCTCAAAATAAAATTAGAAATGTAAGGTATTAATGAAAGAGGTATTAAATAATGAAAACATTGGCAACAGAAACTAGAAATCAACATATGTATGTAAGAAACAGATTCGATTGAGTTGAATACAAAATGGTCCTTACAAATGAAATCTGTAAAATCTGACATGACAATCCATTGAATTTCATGAAAAAATGTCTTTAGAAAGTTATCTCTCTTATCAGAGGTATATTACACCATAACTTTAAGAATACACTGAGCATACTAAGTATATACTTGAAAGTTGAGTTAAGAGTTAAGAAGTCTTATGCAATACGCAAAGCAATGTGATAAGTACAATTTCGATTTCTTTTTTAAAGCAGGAAAACAGTTCTTACGTATATGCTTAGGGACTTATGACTTTTACTAGTAATGCATGAAAAATATGGAGATAACGAACAGTATTCAATATCAAAGTCCATAAAACAAAACAAAATAGGAGCAGAGCAAACACGATCCTCCAAAACATCAGAGGCGATATCAGATGCCATGGAGGAGTGAGCATCCCTGCTGACCGGTCACACCCGCCGTGTGCTCCTTGTCATGATCGGGAGGAAACGGAAAAATCCGTCGTCAAGTCAGTGCATAAATAATGGACTAACAATTAGTATCAGAGTTCCCGAAACTAGTCAAAAATATGTCGGACAATTGTCCTGTAAATATTCAAAATTCACCGGACAGTTGTAAAATTTACCGGACATTAATTTTTTGTATGTAAATTTAACATATTATAGGATTGGAAATTGTAACGATATAATAAATAATATGTGTAAATAAAAAGATGGCAAATGCAGATTTTTTTAAAAAAAATTATTAAAATATTTTCTATAAGGCCTGTGTATGCAGGATTTATTTGACGTCGCCGACGGCGTGTGATGACCAACGCTTAATTCATCGTATAAAATTATTATGTCCATTCTGACAGATTTTTTTTTATTTTTTTTTAAATAAAATCTGCAACATGACAACTCTTGGTTGATTGTTTGGAATTAGTGGGAAATATATGTTGTTTTCCAGGCTTTTTTCTTTTGGATTTTGGTATTTTATGTGCCAGGAAAATTATTACGTAAAATATCAAACTCGTTTTAAAAAGCCTGGAAAACGTCCGATATTTCTGACTAGTTAAAATTTATTATACAACCTCCACACAGTTAAAAATATGTACTAATGATATAAAGATATGCAAATTTATCATGAAAATGATGATTTTAAGTGAATTTGTTGTCGTTTTACTACATTCAAGTCAGTCCTCTATTTTTAGAAAAGGGGAAAAACGCGCAAGCCATGTATTTTAAATGCTATCAAATACATTTAAAAAAATCCAGAAGTTGGTATAATATTATCATGCTAATAGATTAAATTATAGAGAAAATAATAAATGGTAACAAATTGTCTGGAATCAAGCAGAAATAGCAGGCAACTCTTGCAACCCTGCAAATTCGTCAAAACGAAAGTAGATCAGAACTACAGAGTGCATATATTTATCAGAGGGAAAATATTTGTTTGACAGTGTTTTTATGGAAATTATTATTTTAATTTGTAGCTTTTTATATTAGACAATCACCGTCTACATTTTATTTAAACAAGATCTGGCGCGCCCCTGACGTTTTTTTCATTCCTTTAGTTTTGCATTTGTTTATTGTCAGGACAATTGAATTAAATGATTTTGTTAAGATTATATGTAAACGTTATACAGTCTGTAAAAAAAAAAAAACATCGGACATTTTGGGTTTACCGGTCCCATTAACAAATTTCGGGAACTCTGTAGTATGAAAAAACGTCTGCCAGCATTTGACTCAATTTATTAAATTGTATTTGCTGACAAGGTCATGGTATCGACAATAGAACTTACAAATGATGACTTTAAACGAGACTGCTGATAGTCTTGTTTCATCTACTTGTTTGTTAATAATTTACCTAGTTTTAGAAATTGTTCATAGGTAGAACATGCTCTAGTGCATAGAATCAACTAATATATGTAAACTTCATATGCAGGTGATGAAGGTATATTGCTGGATAGGTAAGGGAAGTTAACGATAGAAAAACATGCATGGGTATATAACAAATTTAAAAAACTTACGTTAAAAATGTGGCATTAAATACAGAATATCTGAGCTTTTCATTTGAGTAATCTAAAATAAACTCGGATCAAATTGAAACAAGAAGTCTCTGTCGAGACTGTAGCTCTACTGCTTTATACTTAAAACAAAGGAAGAAAAAAGTAGCAGTTGGGACTTGAAACTTTAAAACAGCAATAAGTAGAACCAGAAGTCTCTGTCGAGACTGTAGCTCTACTGGTTTGTACTTATAACAAAGGATGAGAAAAGAAGCCATTGCCATCAGACCACTACTGTAGAAGGAGTAACGTTTTAAAGGAATTTCAGACATTTCTATTTTTAGTAACAATGGCAATACTGTTCATCAAAATCAAAAACTGATGCACTATTTTATATAATGTCTTAGTGTAGCCAGTTATATTAAAATCAGACCAAAACTGTAGGAGGAGTTGCGTTTTAAAGGAATTTCACAGAAAATTCTATTTTTAGTAACCATGGCACGATGTTCATCGAAATCAAAAACCGATGCACTATTTTATGCACCTCAGTGTAGTCTACTTGTGTGCCAAGTTATATCGAAATCAGATCAAAATTGTAGGAGGAGTAGCGTTTAAAGGATTTTCTCAGAAAATTCTATCTTTAGTAACCATGGCAACACCGTTTATCGAAATCAAATCACAATGCACTATTTTATGTATCTTATTGTAGTCTACTTGTGTGCCAATTTATTTTAAAATCAGACAATAACTGTAGGATTTTGAAAGAATTTCACAGAAATTTCTATTTTAAGTAACCATGGCAACACCGTTCATCGAAATCAAAAACCAATGCACAGAATTTTGTATCTTAGTGTAGTCTACTTGTGTGCCAAGATATATTGAAATCAGACCATAACTGTAGGAGGAGTAGCATTTTGAAAGAATTTAACAGAAATTTGTATTTTTAAATAACCATGGCAACACCGTTCATCGAAATCAAAAACCGATGCACAGAATTATTTATCTTAGTGAAGTCTACTTGTGTGCTAAGTTATATTGAAATCAGACCAAAACTGTGGGAAAAGTAGCATTTTGAAAAAATTTCACAGAAATTTCTATTTTTGGTAACCATGGCAACACCGTTCATCAAAATCAAAAACCAATGCACAGAATTATGTATTTTAGTGTAGTTTACTTGTGTGCCAAGATATATTGAAATCAGACCAAAACTGTAGGAGAAGTAGCATTTTGAAAGAATTTCACAGAAATTTCTGATTTTAGTAACCATGGTAACACCGTTCATCGAAATCAAAAACCAATGCAAAAAATTATGTATCTTAGTGTAGTCTACTTGTGTGCCAAGTTATATTGAGATCAGGCCAAAACTGTTGGAGGAGTGGCATTTTGAAAAATTGTTTACAGACAGACAGACGGACAGACGCATTACTATCGCATAAGCTCTTCTGGTCTCTGACCAGTAGAGCTAAAAATGAAAATACTATAATGATTATCATAATGATTGCAAAATCACTTACCACAACACCTTCTCCTGTTAAAGATTCTCACTTCGTCAACGTCATATCTTGCCCCTAGATCGATCCGATACCACGGAGTGGCATCAATTTTAGTATGGCAAAAATCGTTCAAATTTCCATTATTACATACTGCAGGCTTGTAATGAGCAAGAGTACTACTAAGGTAGGATTTTTTCCCACGAGCAACCTCTTTCACAGCTGAAACGACAATGAAATACATGTATATGGATCGAAATAAAGGTTTGGAATAGTATTCAACTCAAAGTTCATTTGAACAATAGAAAGCAGAACCAGCTAAAACTCAGAAAATTAAAACATCAGAGGTAGGATGTCATGTACGAGTGGGTATTCCTTGCCAACCATTATAGGGATGACAACTTGATTTTTTAAATGATCAGTATTGCTTGAACAATTCATCGATTATACCATTTTCTTAGCTTCTCCTTAGAAAAGGCCTCTCTTGAAAGAATGGAATATATGGAGATAATTCCAATCTTAATTTTATTTATTGATTCCCTGTGTTTTGATTGGACGAAAACAAATTCAAGAAAAAGTTTACACATCGATGAATTCTTCAATTAGAACTACTTTCTTGACTGTTGTAAAAACATTGAAAACAGATACTTCTAGTCCGTTTTAGCTAAATAATGATTACAAGAAACTTGAAATAAAAATGAATGAATGAATGATCGAATGAATGAATGAAAAGAAGATAAACAGGACTGACAGACGGGAATATTATGTTTATATCACTGTCGGATCACGAGTGTGAATTTAAAAAAATCGCTGATCATGCTGTCATTTTCTCGACGTTCAATATCAGCTCATTTGGTATCGTTGTGGTCGGGAAAAGAAACGTACCTCAGACTCTTGCCTTTTTAACATCAAATTCATATGTTTACATCCTACAGATCCCATATTCTCCCTAAATCTTTGAACGAACCAGAGCAAATCGAGGACGTCATCGGTCTGCATCTTTCGTTATTGTTGTATTCAACTTGTTGTTAAAATGTCAACATGACCATGGTCAAGGACGAATTATTCTGGAGAATATGCGTATTACGATATTTGTTGACTTAAACAACATTCATTGAGTTTTTATAAGTTTATTTATTGATTGTTTAGACAATTTAAGTTGGATTTTATCGATATTCATCTTGTATACGTTTCTTTGCGGCATAAAGTATTCCTACGCCGTACAAAATAACGGATTGTATGGCGGCCTCAAAGGGAAATAATTTTAATAATTTAAAAAATTCGTAATTGGAATTATAAGAATTAAACGTCCTTTTTTCAGAATTTATCGATGTGTAAACTCTGCCTTTTTACTCACAAACTTTACATAAAAGTGCTTCGCACTTTTATTCAGTTTGTGAGTAAAAAGGCAGAGTTTACACATCGATAAATTCTGAAAAAAGAACGTTTAATCCTATAATAACGAACAGTTTTCATCCTCGAAAGTCCATTTAAATCAGGAGCAAAATAAACACGGACCTCTAAAACATAATAGTTGGGATCAGGTGCCATGGAGGAGTGAGCAGTCCCTGTCGACCATTCACGCCCGCCATGCATGTGCTGCTTGTCATGATCGAGAAATAATGGAAAATACATAACAATTCAATTGTTTAACAAATAATATGAAGAACATCAGTCAGCATAAAGTTAATGATTGACTGCTTTTGCTGACAGGTCATTTTATCAACTATATAACTTATAAATATTAACAATTAGTTTAAACGAGAATCCTGATATTCTTACTCTATCAACCTGTTTGTTTATAACTTATCTCAAGTTTTAGAACTTGTTCATACGTAGAACATGCTCAATCGTTGTTAACCACGGCCATTCTGGCCTTCAAGGGTTAACTGAGAGGAGAAAATTTCGTAGCTCAATAAAATATTGACCAATGTGTGTAAAGCAGCATAGTCGGAAAATAAACTTTGATGGGACCTTACAATGGACTTTTGCAAGAAGCATTGACTTTTACAGTTGACACTTTACATTGACATTTAAACTTGTATCATGTTCAAGGTACAGAATTGATAAAAGATCAAAAAGCCCCTTTATTTGTAATGGTTACTAAATTTGGATGGTTGGCGGTTGAGGGTAGGGATTTCCTCAAGGACAACTTGTTTCTGCTTTGATTTAACCCATTATTTTCGATTAACTAAATGAGCTTCCGCATAGTGTCCTACTGTAAAAGTAAGCAGCAATTGTAAAAGTCAGCACTCCTCGCAAACCGTTAACGTCTAATACCCAATCACAGTTTACAAATTATTTTTTGTTTACTAAAATGACCGCCCATTGTCTATTTCAACTACATTGAAACAATTATTGTCAGCATTTGTTGACAGGCGTGCATATTCAAGATTACGACACTTGATGTGAACAAGCAGCCACGGATAGAAGAGAGCTATGCGATTCAGAACCGTGACTTGAGACGATGAGCATGCTGTTGCATATCAAACAGAGATATATAAACCCCCGTATGCAGATGATTAAGGTATACCGATATTGCTGCATAAGTAAGGAAAGTTAACAATTGAAAAGTTAAAGACATTACGCTTATCATAAAGTTTGGTTGTTAAATAACCATTAACGTCTTTTTCTAGTACATATCCAACTATGAAACATTACAGTGTATTTAACATATGTGCCGGACTCTGTGGTATGTTTTATTTCATGCTCACTGTGATATAACCTATTGACATATGAATGGAAATAACCATTTTTAATTGACAATGCGTCGTTGCTATATCTTAATGATTTGTTACACTAATTTTATTATTGATAGTTGTAATTAAACTTTACGCAGAAAGACCTAATCAACATAAGCATTTCAAGAGGTCTTTCAACAGAAAGGTGGATAGACCTAATAATAATAAACATAAGAATATCAATAGCGTTAATGCGTTTTTAATCAAGTTTCCTCTCTAAATATCAATGTAAAAATTCATCATAAATATTAAACAAGAGGCCCATGGGCCACATCGCTCACCTGAGAAGCTTTGACAATTCTGTTCTTTACCAGATTTCCCCCTTGTTAAACATAATGCATCCCCACCCTACCCCACTGATCCTAATTTAGACATGTTGAAATCTACACTACCCCATGATCCTTCCATGGGCACATATGTTTCAGCTTTTTTGGCCCAGTGGTTCCCGAGAAGAAGATTTTCAAAGATTTTTCCTATATATTTCTATGTAAAACTTTGATTCCCTATAATGGCCCCGCCCTTCCCCCGGGGGTTATGATTCCTACAATTTAGAATTTACACTACCCCAGAATGCTTTCACATAAGCTTCACTTTTTCTGGCCCAGTGGTTCTTGAGAAGAAGATTTTCAAAGATTTTTCCTATATATTTCTATATTAAACTTTGATTCCCCATTGTGGCCCCGCCCTTCCCCCGGGGGTCATTATTTGAACAATTTAAAATCTACATTATACCAGGATGCTTCCACATAAGTTTCAGCTTTTTTTGGCCCAGTGGTTCCTGAGAAGAAGATTTTCAAAGATTTTTCCTATATATTTCTATGTAAAACTTTGATTCCCTATAATGGCCCCGCCCTTTCCCCGGGGGTCATGATTCCTACAATTTAGAATTTACACTACCCCAGAATGCTTCCACATAAGTTTCACTTTTTCTGGCCCAGTGGTTCTTGAGAAGAAGATTTTCAAAGAATTTTCCTATATATTTCCATATAAAACTTTGATTCCCCATTGTGGCCCCGCCCTTCCCAAGCGGGTCATCATTTGAACAATTTAGAATCTACATTATACCAGGATGCTTCCACATAAGTTTCAGCTTTTCTGGCCCAGTGGTTCTTGAGAAGAAGATTTTCAAAGATTTTTCCTATATATTACTATATAAAACTTTGATTCCCCATTGTGGCCCCGCCCTTCCCCCGGGGGTCATTATTTGAACAATTTAGAATCTACATTATACCAGGATGCTTCCACATAAGTTTCAGCTTTTCTGGCCCAGTGGTTCTTGAGAAGAAGATTTTCAAAGATTTTTCCTATATATTTCTATATAAAACTTTGATTCCCCATTGTGGCCCCGCCCTTCCCCCGGGGGTCATGATTTGAACAATTTAGAATCTACACTACCCCAGGATGCTTCCACATAAGTTTCAGCTTTACTGGCCCAGTGGTTCTTGAGAAGAAGATTTTTTAATGACCCAACCATATTTTTGTCTTTTCTTGATTATCTCCCCTTGCGAGGGGATATGTCCCTTCATTTTAACAATTTAAATTCCCCTTCACCCAAGGATGCTTTTTATCAAGTTTGGTCAAAATTGGCCCAGTGGGTCTTGAGAAGAAGTCGAAAATGTGAAAAGTTTACAGACGGACAGACAGACAGACAGACAGACAGACGGAAGGACAACGGACAAAATGTGATCAGAAAAGCTCACTTGAGCCTTCGGCTCAGGTGAGCTAAAAAAGCAGTCAGACGGAATTCAACAACATATGCAGATAATTTCAATTAATTACTTAGTATGATGTAAGAAGTACTCACCTGAACTGCGGTATTTCGGGTTTCTGTAAATCAAGAGCCTCCAAGGGCCTCCACAAGCCTCGTTACTTCCCTTACATTTCATCATGCATTCTTTCATTGGTTTACTTATCTTGGACTGCATGGTATTACCACACCAACACTCATTAGCATGCTGCAATATACAAAAAATCATATTAAATTACTGAGTAAAATACTGTAAAATCACATATTTTGGCGGGGTCAAATTTTCCAGGTTTGAAGAAAAAATATTGGTTTGTGAGGATTTATATTCGTGGTTGGAAAATGTTTAGTAGTACTGTATAGGAAATTGTACATGTCAAGGAAGTCATGAATTCATAGGTCTATCCATACCTCAAAACTATCGAAAATTAAACCCCTACGAATATTAGTGACTTTGATTCTCAGTATCATCTTTAATACGCTTTAGAAATTCATTATTGGATTGAACACATGGATTATTCTTTCTATAAAACGTTGAAACAATAAAGGAAAATTACTTGAAGACCGTAAAATCTTTTGTTTCTTCTTTCACAGTTTTGTCTACAGAAGCCGACTGTCATGTGTTTACTCAATGTCGGTGGTCCAGAAAGAACCCTTCTCTTTGAGTCCTGGTAGCAGCCAAGCATATCTGTAAGAAAAAATAATAGTTTTAATCTCCGTAACAAACACGGACCTCTAAAACATGATAGTTGTGATCAGGTGCCATGGAGGAGTGAGCAGTCCCTGCCGACCAGTCACACGTACCTGCCATGTGCTCCTTGTCATGATCAAGAAATAATGGAAAATGGTTGACAATTCAATGGTTTAACAAATAATATGAGGAACATCAGTCAGCATTAAGTTAATGATAGATTGTTTTTGCTGACAGGTCATTTTATCAACTATATAACTTATAAATATTAACAATTAGTTTAAACGAGAATCCTGATTCCATCAACCTGTTTGTTCATAACTTACCTCAAGTTTAAGAACTTGTTCATACATACACTATAGAACATGCTCAATCGTTGTAAACAACGGCCATTCTAGCCTTGGTTGAATGAGAAAATTTCGTAGCTCAAAAAATATTGACCAATGTGTGTAAAGCAGCATAGTCGGAAAATGAACTTTGATTGGATCTTACAATGGACTTTTGCAAGAAGCATTGACTTCTACAGTTGACGCTTTACGTTGACATTTAAACTTGTATCATGTTCAAGGTATTAGAATTGATAAAAGATCAGAAAGCCCCTTTATGTGTCATGGTTACTGAATTTGGATGGTTGGCGGTTGAGGGTAGGGATTTCCTCAAGGACAACTTTTTTTGCTTTGATTTAACCCATTATTTTCGTTTAACTAAATGTTGAGCAAAATAAAGACACTAGTAGTTCGCAAACTTTTTGATCATCCCTCGTATCTATATGGGAAAAGAGCTTCCGTATTTGATCATCCCTCGTATCTATATGGTAAAAGAGCTTCCGCATAGTGTCCTACTGTAAAAGTAAGCGGCAATTGTAAAATCAGCACTCCTCGCAAACGTCCTATATACAAAATCACAGTTTACAAATTATTTTTTGTTTACTAAAATGACCGCCCATTGTCTATTTCAACTACATGGAAACAATTATTGTCAACATTTGTTGACAGGCGTGCATATTCAAGATTACGACACTTGATGTGAACAAGCAGCCACGGATAGGAGAGTGCTATGCGACTCAGAACCGTGACTTGAGACGATGAGCATGCTATTGCATATTGAACAGAAATATATAAACCCCCGTATGCAGATGATAAAGGTATACCGATATTGCTGCATAAGTAAGGAAAGTTAACGTTTGAAAAGTTAAAGACATTACGCTTATCATAAAGTTTGGTTGTTAAATAACCATTAACGTCTTTTTCTAGTACATATCCAACTATGAAACATTACAGTGTATTTAACATATGTGCCGGACTCTGTGGTATGTTTTATTTCATGCTCACTGTGATATATCATATTGACATATGAATGGAAATAACCATTTTTAATTGACAATGCGTCGTTGCTATATATCTAAATGATTTGTTACACTAATTTTGTTATTGATAGTTGTAATTAAACTTTACACGGAAAGACCTAATCAACATATGCATTTCAAGAGGTCTTTCAACAGAAAGGTGGATAGACCTAATAATAATAAACATAAGACTATCAATAGCGTTAATGCGTTTTTAATCAAGTTTCCTCTCTAAATATCAATGTAAAAATTCATCATAAATATTAAAAAAAGCAGTCAGACGGAATTCAACAACATATGCAGATAATTTCAATTAATTACTTAGTATGATGTAAGAAGTACTCACCTGAACTGCGGTATTTCGGGTTTCTGTAAATCAAGAGCCTCCAAGGGCCTCCACAAGCCTCGTTACTTCCCTTACATTTCATCATGCATTCTTTCATTGGTTTACTTATCTTGGACTGCATGGTATTACCACACCAACACTCATTAGCATGCTGCAATATACAAAAAATCATATTAAATTACTGAGTAAAATACTGTAAAATCACATATTTTGGCGGGGTCAAATTTTCCAGGTTTGAAGAAAAAATATTGGTTTGTGAGGATTTATATTCGTGGTTGGAAAATGTTTAGTAGTACTGTATAGGAAATTGTACATGTCAAGGAAGTCATGAATTCATAGGTCTATCCATACCTCAAAACTATCGAAAAATTAAACCCCTACGAATATTAGTGACTTTGATTCTCAGTATCATCTTTATTACACTTAAGAAATTCATTATTGGTTTGAACACATGGATTATCCTTTCTATAAAACGTTGAAACAATAAAGGAAAATTACTTGAAGACCGTAAAATCTTTTGTTTCTTCTTTCACAGTTTTGTCTACAGAAGCCGACTGTCATGTGTTTACTCAATGTCGGTGGTCCAGAAAGAACCCTTTTCTTTGAGTCCTGGTAGCAGCCAAGCATATCTGTAAGAAAAAATAATAGTTTTAGTCTCCGTAACAAACATGGATCTCTAAAACATGATAGTTGTGATCAGGTGCCATGGAGGAGTGAGCAGTCCCTGCCGACCAGTCACACGTACCTGCCATGTGCTCCTTGTCATGATCAAGAAATAATGGAAAATGGTTGACAATTCAATGGTTTAACAAATAATATGAGGAACATCAGTCAGCATAAAGTTGATGATAGATTGTTTTTGCTGACAGGTCATTTTATCAACTATATAACTTATAAATATTAACAATTAGTTTAAACGAGAATCCTGATTCCATCAACCTGTTTGTTCATAACTTACCTCAAGTTTAAGAACTTGTTCATACATACACTATAGAACATGCTCAATCGTTGTAAACAACGGCCATTCTAGCCTTGGTTGAATGAGAAAATTTCGTAGCTCAAAAAATATTGACCAATGTGTGTAAAGCAGCATAGTCGGAAAATGAACTTTGATTGGACCTTACAATGGACTTTTGCAAGAAGCATTGACTTCTACAGTTGACGCTTTACTTTGACATTTAAACTTGTATCATGTTCAAGGTATTAGAATTGATAAAAGATCAGAAAGCCCCTTTATTTGTCATGGTTACTGAATTTGGATGGTTGGCGGTTGAGGGTAGGGATTTCCTCAAGGACAACTTGTTTTTGCTTTGATATAACCCATTCTTTTCGTTTAACTAAATGTTGAGCAAAATAAAGACACTAGTAGTTCGCAAACTTTTTGATCATCCCTCGTATCTATATGGGAAAAGAGCTTCCGTATTTGATCATCCCTCGTATCTATATGGTAAAAGAGCTTAGGCATAGTGTCTTACTGTAAAAGTAAGCGGCAATTGTAAAAGTCAGCACTCCTCGCAAACGTCCTATACAAAATCACAGTTTACAAATTATTTTTTTTTTACTAAAAATGACCGCCCATTGTCTTTTTCAACTACGATGGAAACAATTATTGTCAGCATTTGTTGAAAATGACTTCACAACATACAGGCATGCATATTCAAGATTACGACACTTTATGTAACAAGCAGCCACGGATAGGAGAAAGCTATATGCGAATCAGAACCGTGACTTGACATGATGAACATGCTATTGCATATCGAATTAATAGAGATATAATATAAATCCCCGTATGCAGATGATACAGGTATATCGATATTGCTGCATAAGTAAGGAAAGTTAACGATTGAAAAGTTAAAGACATTACACCTATCATAAAGTTTGGTTGTTAAATGACCATTAACGTCTTTTTCTAGTACATATTCAACTAAGAAACATTATTTAAATTATGTGCCGGACTCTTTGGTATGTTTTATTTCATCTTACTGTGATATATCGTATTGACATATGAATGGAAATAACCATTTTTAATTGACAATGCGTCGTTGCTATACCTAAATGATTTGTTACACTAATTTTGTTATTGATAGTTGTAATTAAATTTTACGCAGAAAGACCTAATCAGCATAATCATTTAAAGAGGTCTTTCAACAGAAAGGTGGATAGACTTAATAATAAACATAAGAATATCAATAGGTTGAAAAGACCCATAATAAATACGGTCAATGTTAATGCGTTTTTAATCAAGTTTCCTCTATAAATATCAAAGTAAAATGCATCATCAATATAAAAATAGCAGTCCGATGGAATTCAACAACATATGCAGATAATTTAAATTAATTACTAAGTATAATGTAAGTAGTAATCACCTGGGCTGCGGTATTTCGGGTTTTTGTAAATCAAGAGCCTTCACTCAGTTTGCGACCGTTAAATCAGCATAAATAGTCGCAAATACCAAGTTAGAAGATAGTTATTCCCTAAATGTAAACCTGTATCTCAAATGGATGGCTCTGCATACTTGACGTGATTTACAAATGACATCATAATAGCCTTACAGAATATAAAATTGTAGAAATAAAATTCTAATTCGCATTAGTTTACTTTGCTTTAGCTGTCGTGTGAAAGCAATTTAATTCACATCATTTTGATTTGCATTATTTAATGCCCTGTTCACAGGACACGTTTAATTCGCAGTAAATTAATGCGAAGTGAACTAATGTGAATAAAACTAATGTGAATTAAATTGCGTTCACAAGACAGCTTATGCGAAGTAAACTAATGCGAATTAAAATTCTACTTCTATGGCCAGGCGTCAGTAAGGCCATTATGACGTCATTTACAAATCATGTCACCTTATGCAGGAGCAGATGCATTTGACATAAGGTTACTGTGTCTGTACACACGTTTTAGTGATTAACACATTTTTCTTCGTTTTTCACTCAAAAATAGCACACATTTTTCAAGCTGACCACCGATATGTGGTATTTGACCTAATTTTGCCATTACGCATGCTCAAAATTTAATTCGAATTAGCTTCGCTTAGCGTTCCGGGGAGCTAATGCGAAGTAATTTAATGCGCAGTAAACTAATTCGAATTAATCTTATTTGCATTAAATTCTCCGTGTGAACGCTAAGTGAAGCTAATTCGCAGTAACTTTACGTTTTATTCACATTAAACTTTCCGTGTAAACAGGGTATAACTTCGCATTAATTTACTGCGAATTCAGCTCTCCGTGTGAACAGGGCATAACCATCAACATGTGTCCTGTGACTTAATTCTGGCCCTATGCATGCGTCAAAATTTAATTTGAATAAGCTTCGCTTACAGCTTTCACACGGAGCTAATGCAAATAAATTTAATGCACAGTAAATTAATTCGAATATTAGTACTGTGAACGCTAAGCAAAGCTAATTCGCAACTTAATGTTTTAATTTGAATAATAAAACTCTCCGTGTGAAAAGGGCATTAGAATAATATTAAATTACTATTATATAAAAATAGTCTGATTCATTGTCTCTAATTTACTGACAAGTCAGTGGTTTTTTAAATGTGAAAAAAGATAAATTTTAGGGACAATAGGTATAATTATATATGTGTCTCATTATTGTTTTCAATATATACCACTTTGTAAATAAAAATGTACACTCAAATTTAAACTGTAATATAATAAAATGGGATAATTTTTTTTTTTGGGGGGGGGGGGGGGGGGGGAGAGAAATTACAAGGGGTTACCCTTTGTTCAGAGCCCATATTATGCTAGTACTAAACTTTTAAACGTTAGTCTAACAAAGTGGAATTTTTTAAAATAATTCAATACGACATGCAAAACAATGATTAAATTTTGTTCCTTAATATTTTTCAATTATATTTAATAATATTTTGTATTAACTCTTCAGACTTTAATTCTCATGTATAGACAAATTCTTGGTCAGGTACATTTTCGGTATTTTGCATTTCGGGATATATACATGTAGTCTGGGAGGCTACAGCGGAAATATAAACATGTTGACATATCATTTTTCTGAAGGTATTCCTTTGCTGGGATATATGTCTATCTTATAAAGGCAGATTTTTCAAGAGTGAGCCCATTTAGTGCTGAGTATAGAACTACCTAAATGTTTTTATGAGTACAATTTCAACAGATTTGAGACATATTTGCCATATATCTAGATAACAGTAATTTCATTTTTGTACAAGAAAAAAAATAATAAATAAACAAAACAAAAAAAAAATAAATAGAAAACAGAGTTTCCGAAAACTATCGGTCCTACCGGCAAAACCGATAGAAAATCGAAATGTCCGATGAAATTCGGTACAGTACCGGTCCGTGTGACCGATTGTGGTGAGGGCCTGTCCTGATTATTTATTGTACTCTAATCTATTGCAATATCTTCATAAATGAAAATTTTCAATGTAGCAAGCTCCCATTCTTCATAAATATCCATAATCTTATCCATTTTTTTTTACTTCCAAAAACGATCGTTTTTTCCTAATTTCCTCCATTCCTCTGTTATTGGTAAACAGCAGTATATAGGTCATGAAGTGCAATGGTCACTGAGAAAACGTATAAAGAAAATTTAAAATATTTATTTTTATTTTGAATTTCTATCATAACTGCTATTTATATATGATTCAATTTTACAGGTGAGAATTAAACTTTAACTTTTTAAAAGAAATCTTGAGAAATTTTCTTTTTCAAGAATTAACTTTTTTTTTTATAATTAGTTGTTTTTTCCCCAAACATTTACTTGGGGCTAGAGACTTTAATGCTGCCACAAGCCTGTGTGGGCTGGTGCCATGCTTGAATTATTTATAGTTGCATAACCCTGCTATCACAGTGTTGGTGAGCCACAAAAATTTTTACATATTCAATGCCATTTTCTTTTGAATTACATCTGACATGAAATATACACTGTATATTTTAAAATCTGTTCGGACTGATAGAATATGCTTCGGACTGGTAAAACACATTTAGTCATCAGTCCGAATGACTGATAGAAATATTTGGTTTTCGGAAACTCTGGAAAAGGGGGGTTATTTCAAGTTTAACCATTACACTTGATGTACGTGGTCCATTTTTTAAAATTACAGATGTACAAATAATCTTCTGCAACTTGACGGTTTTCTCATACTTCTGATTTGAATCGGCTGCATTTCATTTCCGGAATTTTTTGTAATTATCAATATTTCATTTCCGAAATTTTTTTTTTCTCGACATTTTCAGATAGTACCTTTAGGAACTGACTTGAAGACTTAACCTATGGAAAATTCAAATACTAAATAAAAGGTGCCTACAGATTTATCAAATTTGAGCAATAAATTACTTTAATGATACTTTATAACTCTAGCTTGGTCAAATAAAGTATTTCGGGTCATAATTTGTAGGAAAATGAGATGAAAAACCATTTTCTAAACTCTCATTTCCTATGAAAAATTAAGAAAAATGATCACGAAATTGTTTTTTTTCATTATCAGAAAGAAAATTTATCCAGTTTGCCTACTTTTGTCTTTCAGAAAAGAGTAATTAGTATTTTCTTCACCTCCTCTTTAAAAGAAGGTCAAAGAAGAAGGTATGGTTTTAGCTTTATTGCGCCTTAAAAATGTAATGACATCAAAATTTTTGAAACTGGCTTAAATATTTGTTAAATAAATGACTCTGATAATTCAGGGAAGAATATGGCATGAAGGTTTACCATTCTGCAAATATGATGTCATTAATGTGAAGCATTTCTCTATTTTCGACAGAAAAAGCCTCAAAATGACACATTTCAAAGGCGATTTTCCTTTAGAAAACAGTGTCCACCACTGTCGCCCACATTAATTTTTTTTATATTTTGTGCAAAATTCAATAACAAATCACATATCTCAAGATCTTTGTGGGCGATACCTGTGGACAATGTTATCTGAAAGAAAATTCCATTGAAAATTGGTGTCTTCTGCAACTTTTTAAGAAAATAAGGGAATATGCACATGTTTATACATCATAATTAGCTTTTTAAAACCCATGTGAGAAAAATGACTTGTATGATTTTTCTGCATTCAACTTCAATTAAACTAAAAGGCATGAGTTTTCAACTCTTACACCAGTTTCATTTTTTAGAAAATCACAGGGCAAAATTTGTATAGAAACCATACCTTCTTCTTTACAACATATATCGGGATTACATTTCATGTGATTTCAAATTGAATTCTATGAAAATATTTCATTTTCTTGAAAATTCTATTGGAGTCATTAAGTACTGGAAAAAGAAAGTTGAAATTGATTATGTCGTCATAATGGATCAAGCTCCAAAAAGTTAATTAGTCTAAAGACATTTACTAGATTTTGACCTTGAGTAAGGCAAAGTCCCGCAACTAACTAACATTCCAAGTTTAAATCCCAAAATGACAAGGGAGGAGGTAACTTTTATTATATACCAAATCCGGGAATTCATGAAACCACAATCGTGTCAGATTAGAGAAAACATGAAAAATACAACCTGTGAATTTAATTCCCTACAATACAGAGTATGTATACATGTATTTCGGAGATAACGAACAGATTTTAAGCTCAAAATCCATTTAAACAAAAGAATACAAAGCAGAAAAAGAATTAACCTCAGCTAAAACACTAAAACACTCAGCTAAATGATAGTGTTCATATAAAATCCGATCCCTTACAAGGTTATTTGTTTGTCCACTAGGTATAAATCTATTTAAATTATATATTCATTTTAATACATTTTTGACAAACGTTTTGCTATTTACTTTTAAAATTTGGCCTCTATTAATGTTGACCAAACAAATTAAAAGTATACCTATACAAAAAGATTTGGTTTTTATTATTTTAGAGTAATTTCGCTTTATTTTTTTTAAAACTGAAAACACCTTTTATTTGTAATGCTAAGTAGAACGATTGCAAACCTCCTGCGATGTTGCCCATAAGATAAGTTCATCACTTTCCTCTCAGAGAGAGAGAAAGAGAGAGAGAGAGAGAGCTGAACACAATCAAAATACAAAACAAATGACTTACCTGCTCGGTTGACTGTTGTAGTTGGTTTGGGCGCTTGGCTTGCAGATTTGGTTCCAAATACTTGTACATCGGCAAGATTCATCGCACTACGATACTTCTGTACGATTTGAACCCAACGTCCTTTCATTCCACCTGGACATTTTATTTTCATCATTTGACCAGTTTTTCCAGGCCCTTTGAAAGTACCGCATGTCTTCAAACTTCCTATTGAGTCACCAACTTGGATCACAGCATCACGGAAACGATTACCTGGGATCAGAATTGCATACTAAATAAATATTAGAAGAATGGAGCTTCTCGTCAACTAACCAAAAGACAGCATTGTAGTATGTAGCATCCGCTTATAAATGTATCGTTTTCAATAACATGCTTCAACCCAAGTTAATATGTACAAATAAGATGATATACATGATACTAAAAATAAATGACCGTTAAGCGTCAACAGCATAATTTCAAAAGATAACTTCACTAACCTAGTAAACATAAACAAACTAAAATGATATAAAGAATACTAAAAATAAAAAAGTCTATTGGGCTAAGGGCAAAATCAAAACGATCTTTTGGAAACAAACTTTACTGTTTGTAAAATAACAGTAATTTCCAGATATTGACATTAAACTTGTTATATATGAATGAACACTCAATGTAGAAATCGTAACAATTTTGTTAAAAATGTGCATATGGTCATCCTTATATGATATAGATTTTGTTAACCAGAATGTACAAATTTACATTTTATCTTACTTTCTATGACTTGTCATGGTTAAAAAAACATTAAATTATGTTTCTTTGTAATGTAACTTCTTTAGATCTTGACTGAATCTTTTGGCTGTGTGTAAGTTAGAAAAATGACATTGAAAAGTCAGAAAAAAATGGGTCTACACTACTTCTTGTCATATACGCTTACATAACAATTATTCAAATTAATCAACAGAATCTTAAAATCTTTTTTTATCTATATAGCATCCGAGTATATGCAAGCATATTGTCTTAGTATGAACAAAATTTTTTTCAAATAAGATCATCATTTGTTTAATTCCAAATGTTTATTAGAGGATAAATTGCTTTGAGATAGTAAAATTCGAGCCTATTTGGAATAAAGTATAAGTAATCATAATTGATATATGAGACCAAAGCTCTAATTTTGCAGAAATTTTTATTTTTTCCCCAATTTAAAAATGGCATGTTCCCGTTTTGCACACATTTGATAATTAGGTATAGAACAATAAGTGTGAATTGTGTTTTGATAACAATTATAGTCCGATTTCTGGTTAGGATTTACCTGTATTTCACCTATGGATCATGAACAGGAAGAATAAATATTATAATTCAATGTATATGAATATTTATTGGAAAAAGTGAATTTATTGAGTACTGTAGATCACTTAATTTTGGCGACACCTTATTTTCGCGAGAAAGTTATTGACTTTTTATTAGCGAGACAAAATTTTCACGAATTGTGGTCATTGCTCTATATAATCTTAAGAAATTCTATTATACGCGAGAATGAAATTTTCGCGAGCATACTGTCTCGAGTAATTACGTGAAAATAAAGTTCTCGCGAATAAAAAGTTATTTACAGTATTTTATTTAATACTAATCATTTTTAAAAAATGACTGCTATTTCTTGAAAATCAAATAATTTTTAAAGGTTTTTTAAGCTAATAAATCAAAAATAATAGTAAAATTTTGATCTGCAAAGCAGGAAAAAGTACTTACGCATATGCTTAAGGACTTATGACTTTTAATGTATATATACAAACCCTGGGTATATAACAAATTTAAAAAACATAAATTAAATATGTGGCATTAAATGCAGTATATCTGAACTTTTCATCTAAGTAATCTAAAATAAACTTGGATCAAATTGAACAAATGCAAATACAATAACGATAATGATTGCAAAATCACTTACCACAACACCTTCTCCTGTTAAAGATTCTCACTTCGTCAACGTCATATCTTGCCCCTAGATCGATCCGATACCACGGAGTGGCATCAATTTTAGTATGGCAAAAATCGTTCAAATTTCCATTATTACATACTGCAGGCTTGTAATTAGCAAGGGTACTACTAAGGTAGGATTTTTTCCCACGAGCAATTTCTTTCACACCTAAAACGACAGTGAAATACATGCATATGGAAATAGCGATTCCGAACAGAATTCAAGCTCAAAGGTTCATTTGAACAATACAAAGCAGAACCAGCACAAATTCAGAAAATTAAAACATCGGGTAGGATGACATGGAGGAGTGAGTATTCCCTGCTGACCATTATGACAACTCGGTTTTTCAAATGATCAGTATTGCTTGAACAATTCAATCATCGATTCAATACAAATCAAGAGCAGAGCACGGACCTTTAAAACATGATAGTTGGGATCGGTGCCATAGTGGAGTGAGCAGGTGCCATAGTGGAGTGAGCAGTCCTTGCCGACCAGTCACACCCGTCATGTGCTCCTTGTCATGATTGGGAAACAACGGAAAATTACGTTGACAATTCAGTGTATAAATCACGGTTTAACAAATAATATGAAGAGTGTCAGTCAGCATAAAATTCATGATATATTATATTTGCTGACAAGGTCATTTTATCAACCATAGAAATTTAAAAACAATTAAGGGGGGACCTATGTTAGAAAAGTCTTTGTGTGAAATTTTCAAAACTTTGACATTTCTTTCCTGACCACTTGCTCTTAATTTTTAGGTATTAAAAACAATACCATATGCTTATTTTTACACAGGAGCACGTGCAAAAACAGTGTCAAATGCTAAAAATAGATCATTTTCAGACATTATCGTTCTACCCAAAATCTGCGCTAAAAAGAACCAAAAATGTCAAATCATATTCAAAATCAACAGGTATATAATTTTTATGACTTGTATCTTTAAAATGAAGGAAAAGTCATTGTAATTGATCTCGCATGAAAAATTATAATGGAGACTACAGTAAGTATCACCCCGTTCTTCTTGCCGTGTTTTTTACAATTCCTACATGCATAACAGCTATTATCTTAAAAAGTCTTTGTGTGGAAATACTGTAATTCATATTTTTTGAAAGAAATGATTCATCTCTTTTTTTTATTTTTAAAAAGTATACCTTTATGATAAATTAAACAAGAAATATGACGTTTGCTCTTATTTTCGTACTCTTGTGTCACAAATATTGATCTTACTGCACTAAAAAAGGTAAGTAAGCACCGCCAAACATCTGAATATAAAACTATTTTGCGAAAAACGAGTATTTTGTTTTGATTAGAAACAATTTAAACAGATCAATTCCTTTCTTCTTCATTCCAATCATTCTGTTTCCCCCTTCCTCCTTACTTCCCCGTCAACAACCAACACCTATTAGAACCTAGGAATGACTTTATACAATAAAATCAACATGCACTATAAATCAATAAGCAAATATAGGTACAAGTACATTTCTTCATATTTTCCTATAGTTTTATCCAGAAAATTCAATTAATGGTAAACATAAAATTAAACATATTTCCCTGATTAAGCCACTTTCTTTGCTGAATATTATCTTATCTTTTTGCACTTATATATCAGCATATCATCGAGGTATTTCTTCACAACTGAAACTGCTTTGAATTATCAACCAAAGAAAGAGAATTCTAATATTAACAAACTCCATAAATCAAATAAAACTGTTAATAATGATGTATAAATTTTCTTTTAGTAAATTGTTTACGTTATTGATAATTAACAATGTTATACCTATATCACAGTTGCAAAAGTCAACAGGTAAAAATAAACGTTGCTATTGTGACGTCACATAACCCTGCTTTGACGTAGAACGACATAGGTCCCCCCTTAACAATGACTTTAAACGAGAATCCTGATATTCTGATTCCATCAACCTATTTGTTCATAACTTACATCAAGTTTTAGAACTTAATTGTTCATATGTGGAACATGCTCAATCGTCGTAAACCACAGCCAAAATGTGCGATCCTCTCCATTCTGGCCGTGGTCAATTGAGAAGAGAAAATTTCGTAGCTTAATAAATATTGACCAATGCGAGTAAAGCATAGTCGGAAAATGAACTTTGATGCGACCTTACAATGGACTTTTGTGAGAAGCATTGACTTATACAGTTGACGGTTTGCATTGACATTTACACCTGTATCATGTACGAATGTAGAGAATTGATAATAGATAAGGAAACCTCTTAATTTGTCATTGGTATGGTGTTAGGGGCACTAACTTATGAAGGCTGGGAGTTGAGGTTAGGGTTTTCTTCAAGGAAAACAAATTTTTGCTTTGAAATAACCCATTATTTTTGTTTAACTAAATGTTGAGCGAAATATCTATATCGTAAAAGTGCTTCCGTATATTATTGTTTGCAGTTGAGTGTAAAGTTTCACGTTACGCCACGATCTAGCTGACAGCTGCGCTTAAGGTAAATTGTACACGCCTCCAAACCGCAAGCTTTACGACTGGAACTTTATTCTTATCCCTAATTAGTTGCTCATGCAATAGACTATTTCCGTGTTAATGTTGATAATTTGAGTTGACCAATCACGTGAATTGTGTACGCTGGATGCATTTGACGAAAAAGATCGTGACGTAACACAAAACTTTACACTCGAATGCAAACAATATTATTATACCTCATCATAAATATTCTACACAACGCGTTATCTGATTGGTTCTAGGTTATCAAGTGATCGGGCCATAAAACTTCATATTTCCCATCGTCGGCACGCTTTTCATCATATTCCACCTCTTCGGAACACCTAGTGAATTTTCCCGCAAAATAGTTCTCATTCGTTGAACGAAAACTCTCGAGAGTAGTAGACGTCACAATAGCCTGGTTGACGTCACAAAACTGATGACAATGTGTTGATCAAAGGGTTTTAAAGTAACTTTACGTTAACAGTGAAAGTGAAATTTGAAAGTTTATGTTTATTTCAAAGGCTTTGCTTGTTTCGGTATAATAAACAATTCATTGCATGAATGTTCGGGAAACATGAAGACTTATTCAGCCAAGAAATATCATATTCCCCTCGGGCGAAGCCCTCGGGGAATATGATTTTTCTTGGCTGAATAAGTCTTCATATTTCCCTCACTATCATGCAATAAATCTATAATATTGTCCAAGTGTAAAAGTAAGCGTCAACTGTAAAAGTAAGCGCACCTTGCCAAAGTTTAATACCCAGTCGCAGTTTATGATTTATTATTTGTCTACTGATAATGTCCATCCATTGTTGATTTCAATTACGATGGAAGATTAGTTCAATGAATGATAAAAAAAAACTGCACTGTGAAATGATAACTTGTATACTTTAATTTTAACAAGAGGCCCATGGGCCACATCGCTCACATAAGTAACTTGGGTGATGCAGTTCTTTACCAGATTTCCCCTCTTGTTATACCTATTGTGCCCCCCTACCCCCTCCCCTGTCATGATTAGAATCTACAAAACCCCAGGATGCTTCCACGTAAGTTCCAGCTTTCCTGGCCCAGTGCTTCTTGAGAAGAAGATTTTTAAAGATTTTCTCTTTATATTTTTATGTAAAAATTGGATTCCCTATTATGATCTTTTTCTATATTTTTCTAGGTAAAACTTGGAAGTATATGTGTAAAAAAAAAAAAGACCGTCCTTCAATATACTGGAGAGTGTCGCGTTAGTTTTATAACCCCCCCTCCCCCATCCCCAAATGAAGACTTGATCAGAACGTTTGTCACCTGTCGCCTTGCAAGTGCATTAATTGGTACAGCAGAGTGCCAATATATTCACCAATACAAGTTCAATAACTCCTTTAATTATTATGTAGCTAAAACATGTACCATTGATTTATATTTATATAATAGTGTTGTGTTTTGCGTGCACGGTATGCCTAAATAGTAGTCAGGGTTTGAAACATGGTGCACTAGCCGGAGGCGAGTGCACTATGTGTCAAACTCTGACTACTATTTAGGCATAGTGCATGTAGAGTACAACACTATTGTTATTATTATGCTGACTGTTGTTACTGTATAAAAACGGCAATATTTTCTTCATTCCCAATGTTTCATCACCTGTAACATTCGTCTACTCTATTATGACGTCACCTTATGCATAATGTACATCATAATCTTTTTCTTTAATTAAGAAATAAACAACGTTATTCAGTGAACATGGCATTATGAATTGCAATTGCTCTGCTGGCATATTCCATGATGCGCACTAGCGCATCATGGAAAATATGCCAGCAGAGCTATTGCTATTCATAATGCCATGTTCACTGAATAATCGTTGTTTATTACTTATATTTGCATTCTTTGATTTTTTTAAAAGAATATCAGAGGAAATCCTGAC